TACTTGTAAATCTATTTTTACTTATGTCAAATATAGTATCTATAATTTTTTCTTCTATTTTAAATAACTTAATAAATCCATAAGTCAAATTAGAGGAAAGTAATTTGTAACCTCTAATACGAAATAAAAATTTCTACAAAGAGGGATAATCCACTCTTTTTGAAGAAATAATCAATATTAAAAAATTAAAAAATTAATTTAAAGATAGATTATCCAAACCTTCTAAATATAATAATATAAGTATAATAATCCATTTACTATTAAAGTAAGAATAATGAATTAGCATTCTAGTCAAATTATGAAGGATATGAATTTCAAAGAAAGATAATATCAATACAATCTTGTATCATTCAAAAAGAATAAAAAATCATTCAATGATGGTAATATATTAAATTAGAATAGCTATTGCTAAAGACAAGAAGATTAGAAAGACTTGAAATAAGTCTAAGGACTAGAAAGGCATTGATAAGAGTAAAAAAGACTTCATATTTGTCTCTATATATAATCTCTAACTAGGAGCTATATAACAATATTCTATAGGATCTTCAACATATGTGGAATTTACTAGACACATGGCTTAACTTACAAAGCAAGTTATCTATATATATATGCCATACAGTTAGCTTGTTCTACAAGCTACTTATATATATGTCATGTGGCTAACTTGTTGACTAAGTTTTTAGCCTATCAAATAACTACAAACATGTTGTCGTGTTGTAACATGACCATGTAGTGAAAGATAATAATATGGATCCTATTATAGAAGAGCCAAGTTAAAAGAAAAAGTAGAAAAATATGGATAAAAGATAGGAAGGTAGTAAAACTTTTAGTAGTAATGTTATCATTTTACAAAAAATAGCTTCTACTTACTTTGTAGGACCAAAAATAAGGCAAAATAAGGTAGATTGGAAAAATAAATGATATAGACATCTTTAGGAAGAAGTTAAGAGTAAATTCTAGTAAAAATTATTTTAAAAAACTGGATATTGATACCCAAGAAGGGCCGGTTAACAATCAGGGTCGAAATCAGACCCTGAGGCACAAAACCTACGGCAACTCGAGGACTCTTTTGTAGATTGAAGAGTGGGATTAGAGAACAGACTTAATAGGATTTCAATGAGCATTAGTTTTGGATGATTTGGATCTGTATTGACTTTGTAAGAGCTTTGTAAAGCCAAGGTTTGTTTTGGATGACTTGGATTTTGTGAAATAAAATAGGGTTTAAGTTCTGGGTGATTTCAAGAGTTTTGTGATAGATCTACATGTGAAATTTTGTGGGTTAATGGTTATAGTTGTGTTCAATATGTATTGTGAATCTGAGCTTGATCTAATAGTTGAATTGAGGATTATTGAGGTTTAAGTGAGTCAAGGTCTTAGAAAGTAGAATTTTAGGTTTAGTGAGGATTTTTTAGGTTTCTTGCAATCTACTAGTTGGATTGGAGTGAAATTTATGTGAGAGGATATTAGACTTATTTTTCTATATGTATGAGAATTTTCAGATCAATCGAATAGTAAAAAAGAGAGATATTGGCTCTAGGAGATTGGCATCAAGGTTGGAGAAAGAAGCCAACCAATACCCAAGCACGTTTTTGAGGTTATTGTCTATTTGGTAATTTTGATCATTTTCAAAAAAATTGTGCTTGTTTTCAACTTAGTTTTTAAGAAGTGTGTAAAATTTGAGTTAAGATCAATGATTCGTTCATTAGTTATTGAGGTTTAGTTCTGTTGTAGAAATTACTAGGGTTTGGTTAGGATTTGATTTAGGATTAGGATTTGGTTAGGATTTGGTTTCGAGTTTAGGATTTGGTTAGGATTTGATTTAGAATCGGGATTTGGTTAGGAGTTGATCAGGATTTGATTTAGAGTTTAGGATTTTATTTGAGTATGTTTAGGATTTAAGATTTAGTTAGTTTTTGGCCTGAAATTTGAATGAAGTAAGATTTCAACTAGGATTAAATTAAGATTGAATTTAGATGTATTTGAGATATGTTTGTAATCATTTTAATATTTCTTTAAGATTTCTTATTGTTTCTTTAGAATTCCTTTGAGGTTTCTCTGAATTTGATTAAAGTTTGTTTAGTATTGTTAGTATTTTATTAGAATTAGGATTTTGTTGCAATTTCCATTCTACCTTCCACAGCCAGGTGCCTGGAACATTCTCAAACAAGACTTCACATATTACGACAACGTATAAAGCCAAAGCAATGTCTATAAAGCTTCTAAGAAGCTATCCTTAAAGATATTATGAAATAAATCTATTTTTACCTACTTCTACATAATCATATAGGTAATTATTGGTATAAATATGTATGCTTGTGACATCTTCTAGTATCAATTACTCCTTGTTAAATCATTCAATTGTTCTCTAAATTGGTAAAATTATAGAATTTCAAGCTCACTATGTTTTTATAGTTTTTTTTTTTTTTTTTTTTTTTTTTCAATCAAACCAATATATTGTTCACAATTTCAAAAATATCCTTTGATACTAAAAATCAAATATCCAAGATCCTAACCCTATTAAATTTTAATATTCTTTAATTTAATCATTTGATTGATCTTAAGTTTAGAAAACTTATTTAAAATAAGCATATTAAAGAATCTACAAAATTATCTAAATCTATCTATTATAATATTTATAATTTTTTAAAATATATAATTATTTTTTTTATAATTTATAATCTAAAATCATTAAAAACATCTTTGACTTTAAAAAACTTTTAGTGTTAATACTACTTTATTTATAACCTTACAAAGTAAGTAGATGTTATTTCTATAATAAGATAGCATTATCACTATAAGTTTTTCTATCTTACTATCTTTAATCTATATTTTTCTACTATATATTTTAAATAGGTTTTTCTATAAAAAAAAACTTATATTTTTACCTTTCACTATAGCATTATATTACAACAAACTAATATTTTGTCAATAAATAAAGGTTGTGAAATAATGTAATAGTCTTATAATAATGTAGTGACTTGAAGAAGTAAATACAATGAACAATTTGTACTTATTGCTATTTAATTTAGCAATCATTTATAATTTCTAAAAAGGTCCAATTACAAAAAGAGAGGAGAGACACTTTTTCTACTAACTAAGGTTCTTTAAAGTATTGAGAAGAGACAATATGACCATATAGTTGGACAATAGATTGAAACAAAAGAATTACTTATTTAGGTATTGAAATATTTTTGAATAACATTGAAGATAAGAGACATGAAAAATATGAAGACTTGTTGAAAAATAAGAAGCAATATTAATGATATCTTAAAGAATTGCTAATATTGTGATGAAATCTTTGGCTTGACACTTTGAATCAATTTCAATAGTAATTCAAAAATTTGAATCTAGAGAAAAATTATTATATGAGGCCTATTTTTAAATTAAAAATTTCAATAGTATTTCAAAAATTTGAATCTAGAGTGGAATTATCTTGATTCAAATATCTTGTGAGACCTTTTCTAAAAAAGAAGCAAGTGCAACCATCTTCTTTGATGTTGTTAAGATAGTCTAGTATTTGCTTAACATTTTATCATAATGTTTAGAAGAGAAACTTCAACAATATAAAGAAGGTGAGTTTGGAAGAGGAATGAATTGGTTGAAGATAGAAAAAGATAACAATTGAAGAGCAATATACGTGCCACTACATTTTAGTGCCATTTAAGGTGGATCAAGGATAGTTCATGCTTTTTCTTCTAAAGAAAATAGAATTATTTAAAATTAGAGTATTTTTTAATATAAAAAATATAACTTTATGTTTTTATTTTCTATATGCAATCCAAATTGAAATCAATGTTTTTACTTTTTTGTTTTGATAATAAATACATATTAAAACATAAAAATTGTATATTTTCTATTCAATTTTTTAAATAAAAAAATTATATATATATTTTTATAAAAAACACACATTGTCACAAAATAAGGATTAGAATGATGTTACAAAACAGAGTTGTACGATTTTTTCTAATAGGTTTTTAATATCTGATCAGTAAACAAGAATAATATCTATCTACTACTTCATTAAACCATCTTACACTAAGATTACTCCAGTGAAACAAAGTAATAAAATTTTAAAAAACCAACAATAAAAACACAACCTGTGACATGATTCTATGTTCAAATGACAAGTTTCCTATCACTCAAAAATGTTCTATTTCTTTCCATTTTTATAATCATTTTGATAAAAATCAATAATCATAATGTTGAAACGTAATGATGTAAAACAAACAAAGAAACAAATTAATCAATCTTCTCTCTTACAAAAACTGTCTTTTAATGATTTTTCCGTGTATGAACAAACAAGTTTAAGAAATAATGTACGGTACATCAAATCCTAATCACAAAACAATCTTCCCTTCCAATTAGAAACATAGGAACGGGAAGAAGAAAATCCAAATGGGACCACACTTGAGATAGAAGAAGAAGAAGAAGAAGAACACGGAGCTGGGTGAAGCACAAATCGTTTGAACTCCGTTTGGTGGGTCGTGAATCCATTTTGTGGGTCTCGAATCTGTTTTATGGGTTTGGATGATCGGGATTAGCGAGGGAGGGCGAGCAGTGGATCTGGTCATGGAGGGGCACCAGCATTGAAGAGGAACAAATTAAAGCGGAGAAAACGGGGAGTAGGTGCAATGTCGCTGTTGCGTTGGGTTGCGTTGCGTTGCGTTGTTGTGGATGTTGCGGATGCGCGCAGGATTCGAAGATTTACTGCGCTGCGCAGCAGTAGGGAGAGATTGGGAGGGGAACGAGGCGAGCTGCGCCTAATTTGGCTGCAGCCGGTGGGGCGCGTCAGACATGGCAGGACCCCTGCCAGGAGTTTTTGTTGTGCGTTCGGTGCTTTATCCTTATCCCTCCGTGGATAATGTGGAGCATCCACCATCCTTCCATGGGGTCCAATCTGAGCATTTTAGTGCTATTATCCGCTTGGTTGTCATCCATGCCGTGTAATTTCTCTCCACCCTTTCTGGGTTCTTTTTAATTTTTAATTTTTAATTTTTTTAGCTTTTTCTTCACCGTTCATTTGAGTTTCTAGCTTCTATTCTGTTGCATATTTCGGAACTGCTCCACATTTGTTTGCTGTAATTTATTTTCTACTCCAAGATTATTCGAAGCGTCCAAAAGGGCTTTGCCTAGTGAGTGAGACAGGGAAAGTTGCTTAGAGTTGGGATTTTAGTTAGCCTCCGAATACCTTTATTCGGCGCAGGGTGTTGGGTGAGTTGCCAGTCAGAGTTGGGTAATTTCCTCAGTCTTGCGTTATAGTTTCCCCTCGTTTTGCAACTTTATCCTCTGTTGGTGTGTTTTTTTCTTTTGTGTTCCGATTGCACTTTCTCAACGATGACAATCATTGGCACACGCCCTCTCGAAATTTAGGTCTCCGATTGATCTCTTAATCATCAACTTCTCTGCAGAAAGCTTAAACGCTTGCACTTTATTCAATCAAAGCCTCCCAGATTCGGTACTTCATCCCTCAAAAATGATGGGTAGGAATGTGGAGCTGTTCCGATGAGATATTTCAGTGCTTACACATCTCTCTTCTTTATTTTGAGACGGACAATAGCGCTTGAGATGCATTGAGAGTTCTCACAAGTGTCCTTTCGCTCAATTGCGATTAGACAATTTATTAAGTATCTAGTTTGTAGCTGTCTGTGTAAGCTTATATAATTTGCATAATCTGCATATTCTGTTCATCGAGCAATCTATCCTGTACAAAAGTTGAGTGGTGCTCTATATATTCTGTCATCGCTGTGTGTTGACGACATTCCACAGCTTTTCTGGCCTGTCAGAGGTGTACTTACACTGAATAAATTAGACCCTCGGGGTGGCTTGTCACTTCTTAGTCGTGTTTTGTAGCGCCCCCAGTTTGTGTATAGAGCGTTCACTTCACGCCAGAGAAGACAAGCTGAAGCAAGCTTGTCTTTTCTCCATACTTCACGAAGTATTCTTGAGCTGGTTTACTTGCAGCGAGCTTCAAAGTACAGGTCATTTCTCCAGTCTCATCTATACCCTTGTCTTGTGTTGCAAGTTATCATTGCAGTTGTGGAAGCCGTGGCACCGCACTGTGCTTCAATTGTGATGCATTGTAGTGATCGTGAAACTGTGTTTCGCGGTTTGATAATGTGTGCAGCACATCATATCCGTATCTGACCTCTTGACTCCAATTTGTTTGAATCTCGCCTTCATAGCTATAACTTGGATCTGTGAACATTTTCTAATTAGGCGCTGTCATTGGAAATATTTTACAAGACAACTCTCCGTACGTAATAGTTTTTATATCCCGTATTTTGTGTCCAATGTTTCCCCGTGACATTCGCTAATCTTGTCAACACTTTTCGATTTCGAATATTCTTTGCTTTCATCGGGACTTGAGGATGTTTCTTCACGAGTCTATGCGATCTATCTTTTGAGTTGTTGAAACTTCGCTCTGTTGGATTGATCTTTGAATGAATATGAAACAGGTCAACATGTCAGTAGAGACACTGCAATCATCAGACGCCTTGCTGCCCGAGCAGCAAAGGATCTGCTCAGACTACGAGCAAACCGTCAATGGCAGCTCAAGTCTAGACTGCCAAAACGACGAAGAGGTTTCACTCAAAGGACCCTATGATCGGTTGCTTGGGGACACTGAACACAATTGGTGTCGAGCAGTCTCGGTGGGAACAGGGATCACTGTACTTGGATTTCTCTTCAGGCGCCTGCTCAATCCGCTGACTCTGCAAGCTGCCATTGACATTGTGCAGGTCAGCACTTAGAGGTTTGGGCACTTTAATACAATGTGGATACGATTGTATGTTGTAGTTTTCATATTTTTAATAATGTTCTGCAACCTTTGCGTTTTCATAGGAATCAAGTCATCATGTTTCAGTTTGAGAGGTTGTTTACCTTTTGATGCCCTGACAGAGTTATTTGAAGAGTGAAAAACTGAAGGTGCCAAATGTCCATAGCACCACGTTTATATCCTTGTTCTCTGTTCCGATTGCATGTCAGTTTATTGTGAGAAAAATTGGTTCAGAACTAAAACATTCTCCAAATAATTTTTTATTTAGAAACTGAAATTGAGTGTCATTGAAATGCAGATTCAGCATCCCCGCCTTCGATCACAACTCATATGGATCCATGGAAGGCCTGCCTTTCAGGTCTGCAACAAGCCAATAGTTAAGGTGGAGGTGGTGAACCAACAGGATGAGTCGCAAATTGTTGAGGATGTATCAGATGACACAGTACCGATGCCTTCTGAAAAAGCCAATAGCGATATGCGTGACGAAGACCCGCATCTCATATCCGATTCCAGCGAAGAATGTGATGAAAAGGGATGGGTAAAATTTGTGGAAGAGGAGTTGAATATCAATATTTGGCCTGAAAGAGAGCACTGTCTGCAGCCAGTGCAACTGTTTGTGGTTCGTCTTTATCTTCTGTCAGAGAATCGGTCCGCCATGATCTTGAGAATACACACAGCTGCATGTGACCGCGTCTCAGCTTCCACTGTTTCAGCTGATATATTGAAGGCTCTTTCGAATGTGAGCAAAAGGGAACTTGCGGCCTCAGATGTGAGTCAGGAGGTAGAAGAAGAGATTCCACAACTAATGCAACAGGATTCAGGCAAGTGAACATGTGCTTTCTCCCACCTGTACTCATAAGAATGAGGACGTGGGTACCTACATGATTAATTCGTGTTTCTCCTTTAGTCTTTTGCTCTTGCCTAATTCTGTAAATCTGAACCGCATTACTCGGATGAGATTTTTTGTGTGTTGGATGTCTCCTTTTTAAGTCTGTAATCGATAATAAGATTTGAAATAGGATTTTTGAGTTTGATTGATTCAGATATTCCTCATTAATGTGTAATTGTGCAATTCATGGTGAGGGTTTTACTTTCATTGGGCGCAGAAATTTAGAACATACCTCTTCAATAGATCCATGACTCTTGCACTAAGGTGCCTGGAAGGGTATGGTTTGCTTGAAATGCTGAATTTGGATGGCAGTCATTTGATCTATTCAATTCCTGATGCCTTTTTCAGGATTGGAAGATACGAATACTGGTCCCGATTTACTATCTGTCGAAGACACAATTCCTCCAGGAAAAGCGAACAAGCCTTTTTGGGCGCATGGAATCGATCTTCTAGGATACTCATTGGGTTCAAGGCGGCACGCACTGCTACCTTTTCAGGATCCTGACTCACCACGGAGGACTGGATTAATCCGTTCCTCGCTAAGTTTTGATCATACACAGGCACTGTTGCAGGTAGGATATTATTTTTTTTTACAGGCTTTGTACTAGGATTCTTTTGTGATTTTTAACGATGGATCTTTATTCATGCCCCTCAGCTTTCCTTGCGTTGAGACTCTGCTTTTGTCTTGAAATGTATTGTATTTAGGAACACAGAACCATCTAGAGTTTGAAGTCAGATCCGAATCTGAAAGAATAAAGTAAAGTCATTGTGTGCTGTTATTTAAAGAAGTCCAATTTGCGTGCATCTGAGTCTATTTTGGATCTCATATTTTTGGTTGTAGGCATGCAACGAAGCCAAAGCAAGCCTGTATGGAGCTCTGTGTGCTGCAGGTTTGAAAGCAGCTGCTGCGACCAAGAACCTTGGTGGCAGGGGTGAGCACTATGCTGTTATCAGTCTCGTCGACTGTCGACGATTCTTGGAACCTGCCATTTCTGATAACACAGTTGGTATGTTTTCTTTGAAATATAACTCAACTGTATATCAATGTGCGGGTAGCCGTTCTTGTTAGTTAGGTGGACAGCATGCAACCCATTTTTGAAGGACTAGGCTCGTTCTTGGGGTTCGCAGTAACTTGCATGCTTTGGTGGCCAGAGTGGTCAACATTTACAGGAGAACCTTTTCTCACACCTAGATCCTGTTTCCTTTTTCAGGCTTTTATCATTCAGCACTCATGTTAACACATCATCTGAACGAAAAGGTGGAGTTTTGGGAGCTTGCAAAGAGATGCTCAGGCTCACTTGACAATGCGATGAACAACCGCAAGCATTTCACAGACATGGGCGACCTCAACTATCTCATGTATCAAGCAATCTCTCGTCCAAATCTTACACCTTCGGGTTCTCTTCGCACCTCCCTTCTCGTAACATTCCGGGACTCCATGACAGATGAGCTTGGAGACCTAGCTACTGCATTAGACATAGAGGATTTTGTTGGCTGTTCTTCGGTTCATGGTGTGGGGCCTTCCTTAGCTATATTTGATACAATATGCAAGGGGGAGCTTCATTGTGCCAATGTATTCCCAACTCCTCTTCATTCGCGCCAACAGATGCAGGCGTACGTTGATACCATGATGAGCTATCTCGTTGAGTTCCTTCCATGAGTCAGGATCAGGTAGTTAATTATTATCCCATGTTCTAATATCAAAATTCTACGTTTTCATCTTGGCTTCCCGTTTTCTCAATCTTCTTTCAATATGTGGACCTTTCATCTTGTAAAGAAGATCAAACCTTTGACTGAGCCTCTTTGGAAATGGATAGAAATATGTGGCCATCTGAACAGCTGATCTGCAATCAAAGTGATAAGGTTTCGAAACATCCACTTGCTGTTGCAAGCTGCTAACCTCTCGCATCAAAGGAAATTCTATTGCAGTTGCATTGGGTACACAAATGTTTTGGTTTTGTTATACAAATTTCTTCATCAGAATTGAACAATCAGTGAGTGTTTCACGTCACCGAATTTCTTTCCCAGATTGTCCTCACCCGCGTAAGATACAAGTGCTGAATACGTATGGAAACTCATGGCCAAATTTGTTTTTTCAAATACTGTTGTATTTCTACTATGATTAGAAAAGGTTTTTGCAAGTAAATGACACAGAAAAAACTTGGTGTGTAAATAATGTGGTTTTTTTTGTCGATTCTTGATCTTGGCAAATCATATCCATGGTACTTTATCAGAATTTGAAATTGAAAGAACCCAAAAGAATACTTTCAGTTTAAAACAATATACTCAAACATCTTCACATACTTGGATTTAATGTTCACACATGTTTTGGAAAACATATATATATATATATATATATATATATATATATATTTTGAACTTTAAATAATCATTTACAAAAAAATGAAATAAAAGAAAATACAAATCTGTGTCCATTTAGGCCACATTGAGAGAACCAAGCATTATTTTGGTTTTAGTACTAAACACTCCAACCTTGTTCTCATTATCACATACACATACAATCACAAGTCTAGGTTTTAATATTTATGTCTTTTTCCTTTCAAAGTTACAATTTCTCAGGAGAAGAAATGATAAAAATAAAATAAACATAATAAATATTTTTTTTTTAAATCCAAATTTTAATAATACTCGTTTTATGGAAGCTCTAAAATTGACAACAAAAATGAAGGAATGGATGAACCCATGAAAACTCCGACATTTCTGAAGAACAGAGGTGGGATCATTCATCCTGGAAATCGTGCATCTGTGATATTATCATTCATCAACATTCATCCATGGGCGTGAGAGGATGGGGGGAGGGAGGAAGGCTATCCACATGAGCCAGGAAGGCGTCTTTCAAAGGCGATTCCTCGTCGTCGTCGCTCTTTCACCATCGCCTCAATTACGAGCACCCACCACGCCTTCGTGGTCTCTCTCTCTCTCTCTTCGTAGAGCCGACAGGAGGAGCGATGGCTATGGCGCTGCAATCTCCGCTCCAAATTGACTCCCTGTCCAATGGCATCATGGGCATGAAGCTCAACACGCCGCGCCCCGGCGCGCTGGTACTCGCCCCCATTCTCTGTTTCCGTGTCGTGGAGGGAGGTCGAGTTTAGCTACAGTCTTGGGGTCCCGAGAGCATGCCGCTGACGTAGTGTGCTTGTTTTTAAAGCTGAGTTTTGAGAAACTGTCCAGGAGAGTGATCTGGGTTCGTTGCCTGTGGGGAATTTGGTGTTACGAGTGTTAGCTTTCTTGTGGCCGTGTGTTCCTGGAGATTTAAGATTGATTTGACGAATTGGTAGTGGTGGGAGCACCGATATTTTTATTTTTATTTTTGATTTGAGTTGGAGAGGAACCTATGGATTTCTTCAAGAAGTGTTGAGCTGACAGCATTTTGGGTTTCGGTTGCAGGCATCTCCTAAATTGGGCATCCGAATGGCGGTGAGTAGTCACTCAATGTCTGCTGGAATGCCTGAATGTTTGCAAAATTTTAGTGTGCGTAGTGTTGTCTGCCATTCAACGACTTGTGTAATTGAATAAATGTGGAGCTTTCGGACGACTTTAGAACACTTCTTCTGACTTGTTGTATTTTAGGTCTGGCTTACATTTCGGTATACTTTGTGTCGAATTTCCTTCTGAATTCAATGGACCTGACATTGCCACAATTACCATATAAGTTTCATGTGTACTATGCTAGATTTTTGGTGCTGTGACTCAAAATTGTGTTACAAGGATAACTCTTACTGTAACTATAACGTCTTGAATCGAGAGGTTTTAGGCGTTGCATTGCTAGTCCATCTGTATCTGCAGGCTACAAGTACCTATATTTCAGTGAAGGCCTTAAATTGTCATGTGGTCGTAATGAAGAAGAGGGAAAACAATTCCCTGTTTAACTTGATTAAAAAATAATTATTTTTCTATTCTATTTATTTTTTACATATTCGTTTGGAATCATCTTCTACTTTGGGGTGAACAGATTAAACGATGGGAGAGGAAGGAAGTCAAGCCGAACAGCTTGCCAGTGGTGAAAAAGTTGCACGTGAAGATTGGTGACACTGTGAAGGTGATTTCAGGTCACGACAAGGGCAAGATAGGCACCGTCACACAAGTCTACACCCACAACAGCAAGGTCATGGTGAAGGATGTGAATCTGAAGACAAAACACGTCAAGGGCAAGGCTGAGGGAGAATCCGGCCAGATTGTTCAGGTTTGTTGACCGGCTACCCTTACTACAATCCTATCATAACTCGAAGCTTGCCACTACTTTGTTTTCCTTGATGCTTTTCGCTAATCCAAACCTCCTTCCAGAACACAATCGCGATATGAATGTCAGTGAAAATTTCATCTGTATGAAGCTTCAAAATCCCTTTATTTTGCGAGCAAGTTGTCATTCATTGTCATGCTCCTGTGCAGGTTGAGGCCCCTGTTCACAGCTCTAATGTTATGCTGTACTCAAAGACTGCCAAGGTAGCTAGCAGGGTAGGGCACAAGACTCTTGAGGATGGGAGCAGAGTTAGATATTTGCTTAAAACAGGAGAGGTCATTGATAGTGCAGAAGAGTGGAAGAAGGTGCACAAGAAAAAGGCAGAGGACAAGAAAGACTAGCTTTCTAAATTCATAGTTTTTGTTCCTTTTCCATCACGCAGTCTGCATTGCTCTTCAAGGTTAGCTTCTTCATTTTGTGTTTAGAAATCGAAACATTCTTTCAATTGTCTTGTTTCTTTAGTGTTGCATCACAGTTGGTCTTCAGTCTTCAACTTTTGGATTTGACCCAGACGCAGACGCTCCTCTTAATCTTCAGAGGTCATGAGGGTTTCCTATTTCACCAGCAGTACTTATTGTATGTGTATCCATGGCTAGCTCAAATGAATGTGACTTTAGTGGGTGATTGACTTAGTTGGTTTTTTTTATTAATATTAAATTCGATTCCACAATGAAGGTTTATCGGCACGAATAAATAAATTCATGTCCATGCCAACTATTTTTTTAAAAAAATAATTGGATCATATTTTCGTCTTTCAACTTGGACAGTTCAGTGTCAGGTTTTTTGAATGCCAATGTCTTTAAAAACTTGATGTTATAAGATATGAACAGTTATAGTAATTATGCTACAAACAATCACCTGCATGCCTTGGATACAATATTGGACAATTGAGAATTTCGAATTTTGTCATGATGACCAATTATGCACTTTGCAGATCACAAATTATGCCCTAGATTATCTTTGAACCGTAGCTGCTACAAATTCTATAATGGGAGAGTGATTTTAATTTATATTTTAGAATACTGCTTGTTGTACAAAAGACACAAAAAAGACAGTAATTTCTGACAGCTTATTTTAACACTATATAGGCGCCACTCTAATATCATGATTTGTTTAATCATCATGAACATGTTTTGATTTTCAGTACTAATGCTAATCTATTATTTAACATACCATATCACTGGTAACTTTGATATTAAATCAAAAATCCAACTAGTACCTCAAGTTTCTACATTAGATGTGGCTTGTCAAGCTCATCATGTTATGAAAAAACAAAAAATATTTGTGAAATTTCTCAATGGCAAAATAAAATGTATTGACAATGTTCCCTATATTTTTTGAATTCATTGCAATTTCCTCTCAATATGCTATATTGTCAATCAAGGCTTTACATAAGAATTTATAAAATCCACTTACATTATTAAACACATGCATATATGCAAAATCTTTGCCAAAGTTGATGACTAAGCTCTAAAGGGCTCAACTTACTTAAGGGTGAGAGCATTTTCAACACTATTGCTTGCTCTATTAAGCAATCAATAGAAATTGAACAAGGTCTACTATAGCACAAGAAGTTAAGACACTTAAAATTTTTGACTCACTTCATAAATTCTTTTATGAAGGCTTGATTAAATGACTACCAAAGTTATCTAAGATCAAATATATCTAGAAAGTGTGTCAATCTAACAAGCAACTATAAAATAAATTTCATAAGAATATCTTCAATACAACACAAATCCTTGTACTTATACAAAGTGATGTTTGTGGACTCCTCAAGCCAATTAGACTTACTAGAGCATGATATTTTGTCACTTTCATCAACAACTACAGTTATAAAATATAGATATCATCAATTAAATCTAAGGCTCTCATCTTCATTATGTTCAAATAATTCAAGGCTCATGCAAAAAAAATGACCAACAAACTCATGATTATCCAAACATATAAGGGCATTAAATATTACAACAAACTATTTACAAACCTTTTTATTCAAAAGAGCATTTTTTGTTAAAAAAGCACAGCCATATACATTGTAAAGCAACAACATGGCTGAGTAAAATATTTAATCTCTATACAAACTTGCACAATACCTTCTCTAGAGTTATCTTCTAAAAATTCTCTAATTGAAAGCTATTTGACATGCTTGTTATCTATACAATACTTGCCCAACAAGCTTATTAAAATCACACCCTCAAGGAATTAATTACTAAGAAGCTTTAAAATATATCTTATCCATGTATCTTATATATATATATATATATATATATATATTTGTATACATTGTTAAAAAACACAAAAAATAAGCTTAGTTCTAAATCTTATCATTGTATATTTCAAGACAAGGATGAACACACAAAATAATACAAGTGCAATTCTTCAAAGACCAATCACATACTTGTCTCTTAAAATGTCATGATTGATAAATCTTATAATCCATCTGCCTAATCAAATTTTATTAAGATAGCTTCAACTTTTTCAAATTAATGGAGAATTTTAGTTCCAATAAGAGGACTATCAAGAAGATTAGAATTTATATTCCAATCCACCACCCCACTCTTACAAGAAACCACACCTAAAACATCATCACTAGTAGTTCATTTTTTGTTAATCCTTAGTCGTTAATGATGTCTATTTTACTACCTAATCTATCTTCTACTTCCATGGCACCTAGCCCATCTTCAAAACCTCCCTAAGTATCTTCAATTACAATATATTTTCTCCCAATATATATATATATATATATATATATATATATATATATATCAAAAATATAAATAATATTTCTTTTAATAATTCATTGCCAAAGATAGTTCATCACCTCAACAATCCACTTATTCCACTAAACCTTTTCTACTCTTACAAAATTATATTACCAACATTAAAGAGGATGTTGTCTTATTAAAAGCACTTTGAGATTTTTTCTAAATTTTTTTTAACATAGATAAATATTATAACTATAAATAGATATTGACTTGGATATTAGTCAAATTTTTTCTTGGTGCCAAAGCCATTTTTTCTACTTGAATCGTGTGCAAGAAATAAATTTTAAAAAATAAAAAAATGCAAGATCAAACTTTGTGCTTAAGGTGACAAGATTAATAAGATATGTCTACTTGTGACAAAATTCAATCGAATCAAAGCCATCAATGCCTTAGTTAAATAAGCATGTTAGAAAATTCATTACTATGATGTTAAAACTATGCTTCTTAATAGCAAAATTTGAGAAACCATCTATATAAAACAACATCTTAGTATTTTCTAGTTCTAAATTAAAAAGACCTTGTCTATCAAGTTCTTTGCTTTGTCTATGGATTCAAACAATCACCATGTTGCTAGTACCAAAAATTACATTATTTCCTATACAATTATTTCATACAAAAATCGTCTTAAGGTAAAAACATCTATTATCTTTGAGATAGCAATAAGATAGTTATCATCATTTTATATGTAGACAATTTCTTCATCACTAAAAATCACATCTCCAAAATCTATTGGCTACAAAAAATACTACACAATCAATTTGAAATGACTTATCTCAATCTCCATTCCAAATATCTAAGCATCTAATTTGAATATCACATAGACAAACTTAAGTTCTATTGAGTCAAATATGCCAAAAGCATTGTCGAAGAATTTAGATTGGCTCATTGCAATTTCTCTACTATTCCACTTTTTACTTGCCTTTGATTAAGTAGGGATACTAATATATCATTAGTCATCAAAACTATCTATCAATACATGATAAGTAATCTTAAATTTCTAAAACATAGTTGTTATGAAATATATGTAATTTTTATTAATTTCATATCATGTTACATAATAATACTTTAAGAGGCACATCTCAAAGCAATAAATTGCATAATTTACTACATTAAAGGTACATATGATTATTGGCTATTCTACCTTAGAAGTAAAAAGCTTATATTACTTGACTATATCAACGCCAAGTAAGTAAAGGAGAAGAAAGGAGGAGGAGAGAAGAATATTAATCAATGGTGGCCTAAAAATATATTTATCTTCATTTTCAATTTAACTTTCATTACTTGGTCAATCAAAAAATAAATACATGTTATACTATCATCATGTGAATCTAAATATAAAATTTTATTTAAATCTACTATAAAATAATATATATATAATAATAATATATATATATATATCAAAAATCTATATTAAGAGCTTCGACTTTTTCAATATAGACCAAAACCATCCATTGCAACAACCAATTAAGCATCAAAATACATAAAAATCTATAATACCACACTAAGACAAAGCATTCTAAAATTTACTTTCATTTGTATAAGATATTGTTAAAAGAAGTAGATATGCATCCTATTTACTACTATAGACCAATAACTTGCTGATATCTTAACAAAAGCATTAGACTTTGAGAAATTTAATAATTGCCAAAGATTGTTCAAGAGAAAAAACATCAACAACCATTACTATTACTTTCTTACAAAACTTTGATAAGAAATCAAAGCTAGTCTATAGACAAGGGTTTTATTTTGCTTTAATAAGCTCTTCAACTTTGTCTTTAAAGATAAGATTGAGTTTGTAAGATTGAAACAATCTTATAAGAATAAGACAAAAATTCCTCACCTTCTTTACTCATTGTTCTACAACTCTGTAGGCACTTATTAAGAAAAGTGAATTCACCATCTAAAAAATATAATCTAATTCTTTTTTAGTAATATGCATGCTTAAAAAATACTCTAACAATAACCAATTTATATATGCAATATGATTTATCAAATCAACATTCTATCAAGGATATGAATCTCAAAGAAAGAAAATCCTCAATACACTCTTGTATCACTAAAAAGAATTAAAAAGTTAGTCAAAGATGATATAATATTGAATTGGAATGGTTATTGCCAAAAACATGAAGACTAGAAAGTCTTGAAATAAGCCTAATGACTAGAAAGGCATTGACAAGAGTAAAGAAGGCTTCATCCTTAGCTCCATATATACTTTTAACTAAGAGCTACGTAACAATGTCATATAGGACCTCCAAAATATGTTGACTTTCTTAGCCATATGTCTTAACTTGCAAGGAAAGTTATCTATATATACGCCACATAATTAACTTGTTCTATAAGCTACTATACAGAGTTAACTTGTTCTACAAGCTACCAACACATAATTAACTTGTTGGCTAAGTTTCTATCCTACAAATACATCTAAAGTCAAAACTGCATCTATAAAGCTTCTAAGAAGCTTCTCTAAAAAACTTTATGAAATTAATCTATATTTACTTACTTCTACCTAATCATATAAGTAACTATTGGAATAAATGTATATGTCCATGACACATTCACTATGTTTTTAAGTAATTACCAAGTATGTTTATTTTTTATCTCTATCTTTTTATCTTATGTTTTTTTTTTACAATATATATATATATAGATAATTTATCCTTATATGATATGTGTCTAATTTATAAGATATGTGTTTGCCTTGTATAATGTGTATCCATCTTCTTATAATATTGATTGAGGAGTAGTAGAGCATTGATATACCTTATATGATATGTGTCTAATTTGTAAGAAAAGTTTCTT